ACTTTCCTCTTGTCCCACTATCATGCTCAGCCTTCATTTGGGTTTCAGTAATTTCTCTCTGTTACATTACCCTTGATCAATCCCTACCAGGCCTCTCACACCCTCCTTGCCATTAATTTTGGGTCACTTGTTGTTCCTTTGTCCCTGGGTTCGTCAACACCACCTCCTTTCCCCCACCTCCCCTTCTCCCATGTCCCCCTGGAACCATCGGTCCTGTTGTTTTCTCCTCCAGACTGTTCATCCAGCCTCTCTTATCTAGATAGACCTGCAGAGCTAATAATATGCACGCAAAAATAAGACATAACAAGACAAAGCGACAAAAGAAAACCAATGTCCAAAAATCAATAAACAAAAATTTTAAAAAGAAAAACCTGTAAATAATTCAAGGTCCGTTTATTGACCTCTGGGAGTATCCTCCAGTGGAGTCCAATGGGGTGCTACGCCCTGGCCCCAAAGTCTATCCTTTGGACTCCCTCGGGACCTCCCTGCTCTGCTCCCCCTGCTGCTCTGCCACACGCCCTTATTGTTTTGCCTCGGTGTGATGGGGTCAGACCGGGCCAATCCCAACACTGAGTCTCCAGTGTTGTCCCCCATAGAGCCATGGATCAGTGAGGGACGTCGTGTCTCATGGTGAGGTCAGAGACTGTAAGTCTTTACCGCAGTAGAAAGCCCCATCTTGCTCATGTGAACTGGCTGGTGGTTTCCGACCGCCAACCCAATGAGTGACAACTATACCACCAGCACTCCTTGTTTTATCCCACAATAAGTATAAAACTTTCAAAATTACTTTATTATTATTACCAACAGTAAACCTACTGATGTTTGAGGTCCTCTGAAATATTTTGGTCATTAGAATACACTAAGGATTTACAGGAAAACTGTTTTCAACAGCTAGTCAAAAATGTCTTTGCATAATTATGCTAGCAATTTCTTAGATTCTTTTTTCCCCTAGTTTTTAATTTTGTTTTTTTTTTCTCTTTGAACTATTTTAACAAATGATAACATTTACATGACTCAAATTGCATTAGGTAAATCTGCTGCACGAGTCCTCTTTAGAGTGTTAATAAGCAAGGATGTTACTTTGAGGACTAAGTTGTGCCTGACCCAAGTCATGTGCATGTGAAAATTGGACATTGAGTAAGGAAGCCTGAAGAAGAATCAATGCATTTGAACTGTGGTGCTGGAGAATATTGCAGCTATCATGGACTGCTAAAAGGACAAACCCATCTGGCTTGGAAGCCGTATGACCAGAGTGCGCCTTACAGGCAAGGATGTTGAGACTTTGTCTTACATATTTTGGATACGTTGTCAAGGGAGAGCAGTCCCTAGAGAAGGACATCAAGGTTGGTAAAGTAGAGGGGCAGTGAGAAAGAGGAAGCCCCTCAAGAAGATAGATTGATACAGTATCTGCAACAATGTTCTTAAACATAGGAACAATTGTGAGGATGGCACAGGATTGGGCAGGGTTTCCTTTTGTTGTGCATCGGGTCTGTCGGCCCTAACTGACTCACTAGATGGCACCTAACGACAGCATGTACAACAGAAGACTTCATCAAGAGTGTGGTAGTTACATAACGTGACTAGATTTTAACATTGGTAAAATGTAAAAACAGCGGGACACCATTGACGGGGCGGGGGGAGGCTCTTGATTAAAAATTTGGTCTTCCTGTTCTCCTGCTGTTCCCTAGCTTGTCGTGCATTCTTTCCAAAAATCGGGACTTTTTAAAACCACCATGGGTCGCGGGACAAATTGTTAAAAAGCGGGATGTCTGGTCACCTTATACTTGCATAATCTGTTGTCCTTTGAATATTAAGAGTAAAGGGGTAGAGTTTAGTCTGTCAATCAGATCGCAGTTTGAGGACCCATTTGGAGCCGCTAAGGAGATAAATAGCTCCTGCTGGAGGCAGGAGACAGACTCACTCCCTGAGAACACTCTACTGACAAGACACATGGCACTCAGGTGATAGAGCCCGTACCCTGGGAGCTGGAGAATCCACGTGGAGACCCCTGCCAGCGCTGAGATGCTTACAAGGCCACTGGATCCACAAGACTTGCTACTCACTGACCTGTGATCTTCCTGCATTCGGCGTCATTGCATGTGTTTCGTGATTCTGAAGAGGACTTTATAG